TAACCCTATGCTAAATACAAAACTGTAGAGCGCCACCTTAAAAACAAATATAAACATTTATGCAATTATTTTTCTTATTTTCATATTATTATGTATGATGTTCTGAGTAAAATGGTACATTAACAATGATTTTATTCATGAAAATAAGCTAATTATGCTTATTTTTGCTCTAGCATACATAATTTGCTATGAGGCATGTTTGGGTGAGTAGTGACCTTCATAATGGGGAAATTAGAAGTCTTAGAATATAGGAATAAAGTCAACTTAAATTGAAAAATGTTGCATTAAGTAAAAGAAATACATAGTGAAAATGTTTTATTTCATTTATTTGCAATGAAATTAAAAAATAAATGATAACAAAGCAAATTTGCTTCCTTCCATATCAAAGAATTAGTTAATATTTTACCCTTTGACCTTTGACCTTTATGAACCTCACCTGTTATATCTCTTTTATAACTGTAAAATTTATTGTTGACATCTCATTAATAAATATGGCTAGTTTCATGTTCCTGTCTATCAGCATAACACTGGTTGCTATGTTGACAAAATGCAATGCGCATTTTTAAAATAGTTCACTTTTTATCATAAGGAGGGGGGGCTGTACCGGTTTAAGACTGACTCTAATAAATGCTGGTCTGAGAGGGCAAATACAGGACAATTATTACAAAGGACTGTTTTGATGCTTGCGACTTAAATATTTCAGTCATATAATCAAAATTAAATCATACAATAATAATACCTATATTCTCTTTATGGTGGCGCTCACCAGTTATTATGTACTTTTGAGAGAGTGATGTATGTAAGGTGAAGTTGTTTGCATTTTAAACATGCACAGTGGAGAGAATGTTGGCATACCTATATACTACTTTCATGTAATGTGGATGAAATTTCTTTGGATATTGTACTTTTGGAAATTTTAAATGATCTTAGGACACTGCTAACTAAAATGACTGCTCCCTTGTGCTCCAAAAATCAACCTAAATTTGTCTAAAGTACACTATTCTTGGCAGTTATTAAAATATGGAAAATGAATTTTGCCAAACTAGATAATACCAGCTTCTAAAAGTGCAATGACTGAATTACCAAATACATAAAATGTAAAAAAAGTTATCGGCTCTTTTTTTTTACAATTTACCTCTGAAGTTCGAGAAGTGAAAATGAGCAAGTAGAGCTAGCACTTTTTTTGAAAGGTGCACATCTGGAGTAAGGCCAAGCTGTATACTCTCTAACCCATATTACACCCATCAATCATACATCAAAATAAAGGGAATTAAAGGTTCTTTGAACAACACCTAAGATATACAAAGTCTCTTTTAAATAACCAGTATAACTAGTGAGGAAACCCGGGGAAACTCTTTTTCTTTAAAATTTTAACCCTATGCTAAATACAAAACTGTAGAGCGCCACCTATATACTTTTGAGAGAATGATGTATGTAAGGTGAAGTCGTTTGCATTTTAAACATGCATAGTGTAGAGAATGTTGGCATACCTATATACTACTTTCATGTAATGTGGCTGAAATTTCTTTGGATATTGTATATTTAGAAATTTTAAATGATCTTATCACACTGCTAACTAAAATGACTGCTCCCTTGTGCTCCAAATATCAACCTGAATTTGTCTAAAGTAGACTATTCTTGGCAGCTATTAAAATATGGAAAATGAATTTTGCCAAACTAGACAATACCAGCTTCTAAAAGTGCAATGAATTAATTACCAAATACATAAAATGTAAAAAAAAAGTTATCGGCTTTATTTTTTTACAATTTACATCTGAAGTTCGAGAAGTGAAAATGAGCAAGTAGAGCTAGCATTTCTTTTGAAAGGTGCACATCTGGAGTAAGGCCAAGCTGTATACTCTCTAACCCATATTACACCCATCAATCATACATCAAAATAAAGGGAATTAAAGGTTCTTTGAACAATACCTAAGATATACAATGTCTCTTTTAAATAGCCAGTAAAACTAGTGAGGAAACCCGGGGAAACTCCTTTTCTTTAAAATTCTAACCCTATGCTAAATACGAAACTCTAGAGTGCCACCATAAGTTCTTAAGATTATTAACATTTAATTGACAATATTATAATTTGCTCTTCAATTTTCATTTAAAGCTTTGAGAATAAATTAACTGTTGATTTTACTCAACTTGTTGGTATTACATTTTTTTACTCAGTTTACGACCACTGAATCGTAACTATTCTCAATGATGACGAATTACATAAGGTTTATTTCGCGACCAGACGTTAATGATTGAACATTAGTCTCTAGATTTCTCGTGAGACGGGCGTGGGTGGAAGGGATTACACATTTCTCACATTTTGCCTTCAAAATGGGGTAATTTAAGAGTTAAGAAATCACCACGTACATGTAACCATATGCAATATAACAAGGAATTAAATGACAACTACAATGAGCAGGTGTGTACTTGGTATCACATTATTTAACAACTAAATAAGTATGTTGCTAGCGCGTATTTATAAGAAATTTAATCGTGTATTCGTTTCCTCTCAGAATTAATTAGAAAATTAATTAGGAATGGAATGGAATAAATTTTGATATCTCAAAATAAACAGAAGTTACAACACAGTATGTGTATTTGAGACAGCAATGTTCAACCTGGTCAGAACTTCATCTGGCCGTTCAAATCCCTTCTTAGATATATGGACTGATGGCAAAAATAAGGATAGAAATGAATACTGGAAACTTGGACTAGGCTAATCTAGGTTACAGTATCCTGTGACCTTTTGGTCGCTTTTGAAGTGGCAAAGTGCGATTTTATTGGGCTAATATTTTCACATGGTTTTATTTTTGTAAACATAAAGAGAAGAGTTGAATATTTCTTTTTAATTTCACACTGATTTATGGATTTATGTCACTGAACATAAATCAGTGGGCATCAAAATCAATCTTTATAGAGTGACGTCTGCTATCTTTATAGAATGACGTCTGTCATCTTTATAAAGTAACGTCTGCTATCTTTATAGAGTGACGTCTGCTATCTTTATACAATGACGTCTGCTATCTTTATACAGTGACGTCTGCTATTTTTATACAGTCACGTCTGCTATTTTTATACAGTCACGTCTGCTGTCTTTATACAGTGACGTCTGTAACGTCATCTATACTTGTCTCACACGAAAGGATGAAGTGAATTATACAAGTTACCCCCTTTTCTGGGCAAGACATTGTCTGCCCATGGAAAGCATTTTATTGTGCATGGGCAACTGAATGGGCAATTTTATGAGTTAAAGTGACGCAGCAGTTTTTACTGAATTCACATAAAAATGTGTATTATATAACAATAGAACATGTATTTTGTTTTGGTTTTTTTTTTCTTATCGTAACTTTCATCGGCAAATAATGAATAAAGAGTTCATGGGCTTTTAATTTAAATTATTTTATTATCATATAAAACAAAATTTACTCTGGAAAGACATCTTGATAGAAAGAGAAACAACCTACATGATGGTAAAAGGGTCAATTGCTTCTGGAAGACAAACAAGTTTTATGTACAGATATCAAAATTTTCTCCAGATTTAATACTGAATTATTTTACCTGGGATTCTTTAATTCTATGCCAACCTGAATGGTGCAATCTGTACTCAGTGCTGGAATGTTCTTTTAACTTCGACAAATTCTGTGAATGCAGCGACGGACTGCATCAAAAATTGACCGACCAGATTAGGCGGTTCATCATCGGGGCTTTCCATAACTTATTTCCTACGGTCCTTCTGCACTCGGCAGGTTGCCAGATGGGTTAGTCTGCAGGTGTTTGAATAGCCACCTTAATCCGTTTTACCATGCAAGCAACAAACAACATGCAAATACGACCACGACAACTATCTATATGTGGTGTAGTCATTTTAAAATAATCGCTATTCCTTTGCATTGTGAAAAGTAAATGCGAGTCAGTGATAGATTCTGAACATTGTTACATCAAACTATAACACCTTTTGTGATGTCTTTACTATCACACTTATTTAGTTCCAAAATTTCATTTTATTTGGCCCAGATGGAGGTCTGGACGAGTATAGAGAAACATGTTTGAAACAATTTCAGTTGGTTTTTAAAGTTAGGTGATTTTCTATGAAAGACATTTTGTTTATAGGATTGTTTTTGGGGGTGGGGGGAAATTATGATAATTCGATTGTCGTTGTGTTAAAAATAAAGTGTAAACTGTGTAACTAAACGACCAGTCTTGGTAAATCAAATCAAAAGCTCGTCTACGTACAGGCCTAAATTCACAATCAGGATTAGACCAACAAGTAGGTCTCTGCTTCTTTTTTTTTCTGACTGCAGAGACCAACTGCCTCAAGCAATAGTCCATACTGAAGTTTTAACATTCTTTCAGCTCTGACGTATCGGACGCTCGCTAGTAATTAATACATTTATTTCGACTGACCTTGGTAGGCAATCTAAATTCCGTCCCAAGTTTTAGTCATCTCCGTGTGATTTACTCCTCGCTAGAATGTTTCCATCAGTTATTCTTGTCTTAGGGTGATACTGATTTCTATACATGTGTCAGCAATTTAAAAATCAGATCATTTATAGGTGTATACATAGGTGTTCTCTTCTGACAGGGATTATTACTAAAAAGTGAGTATTCTGAAGGATTTGACGCCATAGGTCAAAAGAAAAGGGATTTTAGTTTCCATCCGCATACCAAGGTCGGTAGAGAAAAAAAGCAGAGAACTACTTGTTGGCCTAAATCAGGATCTGATGGGCTTGACGATAAACTGTCAGCATGCCCTGGTTTCTTCAGGTGACACCAGAACGTACGGTGTTTCACTTGCGGTGCCAAGCCTATCGCTAACTCCATAGGTTATATATAAAGTGTGTGTGTGTGTGTGTGTGTGTGTGTGTGTGTGTGTGTGTGTGTGTGGTTTAACATACCTTTGACATTATGTCCCACCTAGTCACATTATCCTGACCAGTCCTAACACTAACCTCTTAATGATGTGCCCCTAGCGAGAAGCTATTAGTACCATTTTCATAAGAATTTGGTATAACTCATCCGGTGTTTGAAACCGTGACTTTCCGCATCTGAGGCGGACGTTCTAACCACTGGGCCATACCAGGGTTCGATTCTGCAACCTCCAGCATCCAAGGCGGACGTTCTAACCATTGAGGCTTTTGTAGCAATAAATACTTATTGAAAATCAATAATACTTCGCAACTTATGCCGTCATTAAATACAAAAAGTGTTATATGCCAAATCGTCTGAATAATACTGAAATCTTGAAATATATTGTTCCCAGGCATCGTTGTGTTCCATTCCATAATATATCAACGTTTCTTTAAGTTCACATTATGAGCCATGTAATTTTTGTCACCATGTGAGAAACCAGGCCATTTCTCACATGCATACTAATAATTAATCCGATTCTGATTTGCGATATCCGTGGATATCCGTGGGTGAACGGATTGTGGTCGAAAGCTGCAGCACAAGATCTGATGACCTCACCACTTTAAACATAAATAACTAACACTACGCTATGTCGGATTGTCTTCAGCCCATGTTCTCTCTTCACTGTACATTCTAGCGCCGGAGCTAAAAACCATTATCTTTTATTTAATGAACGCTTTCTCTTCCTAGATCCGTTGTTTGTTTTTTTTTTTTTTAAAAAAAAACTCTCTTTAGTTTCTCTCTATTCACTGTGTGCGCAAGTGATGTTGTTATTTTTAATTTGTTACTAACGGAATTTGTTGAATGCATCACCTCTCTACTTTTTTTGGAGCACTCCGGAAAAAGATCCGAATTACGAGCGACTTTGTCGACTGAATTAAGAGATGTTACCTCTTAATTCTAAACTGAATATTTGAAAGTAGTTTAAACATATGATCTTGATTATTTTAAACAACGGATTATGCCAGATGGCTTTATTTTTTAACAAATCATTTCCTTTCTTCCAAACTTTAGTTAGGCTGGAAGAATGGTTAAATTTATGGTAAACGGAGACCGAAGACGTCTATGCATCGTGTCAATTTAATTTGTATTCATTCCTTAGGTATGTGTCGAGGTAGTTTATTTAGATTTTGTGGTGACTGAAGTTATGTTGCACAGAAGTCTAATTATATTGAACATCGAGTTCGAAGATTATTTTAATTTCTTGAGCAAACCCTCCCCCCAAATATAAATTAGTTTTGAAAAAACGATTCAAGCGTCTTTCCATAATCGAAAAGTTGAAACTGAAAGGAATGAATACAATCGATCGAACTGAAAGAAACTTTTTTGCTTTGTGAGAAAATAATATTGAATTGGAATATCGTTTTTTCTTTTAACGTGGCCATTATATATTAATTTACATGCAATTTTAATAAAAGTACGTCTGGAACAAACCATCCATATGTAAGTGCAATAAATGGTTTACTTCCCATAACAATAAAACTGTATTTACTAAATTTGTTTGTTATGTTATTATAAACCGAATATTATCTTAAAGTACTTTGTTATTTTAAAAAATACTTTATATTTGAACACCTTTGTTGCAAACATCCCCCATATTTGTTGGGGTGGGTTGTATGGGTTTTGTTATCGTTATCTTGAGGGTGGTCGCCGACAGTGTAATTTGCCCGGAATGAGTAAATATTAATATAAAGTGTGAAACTTACAGGTGGAATAGATAAAGATCGGAGCAGATATATAGAACAGAATGACACGAGCCCCAATACACGTACAAATCAAAATATTTAATCAAAATTTCATAAAAAAATGTGTTAATGCATTACATTTGAAAGATACTTCTCTTTGAATTAAATTATTCAATGAATTTCAAACGCAAATATGCTTATACAAATAGCCGATCTGTTAAGCAATAGAATTAATTCATCATCAAATCGAGTAAAGATCGAAATCACTGCCTTGTACAGATTCATAACCTGTTGGTTCTGGTTCAGACCAATTTCACTACGACTATTTTTTTTTTTTACTTCCTTGTGCATGTTAGTCTGGGTTCCTTCCACTTTTACCTTTTCCCAAATTTTCAGGTATCTCGCCTCCTTCTAACTTCGTGTGGTTACTTTGGTTTTGTAAATACATGATATGTTACGTGGATCCTTCCCGTGGAGCTATCTCACCTTCCAAAAGTAAACAAAACGGCAACCTAAGTATTCTGTTAGGTACCCAACTGTGATGAAATCATACTTTCTCCTCTCGTTAATGTCAGATAAATTCTATTGGGATTCAAACGGATACCGACGGAAATCTGATCTAATTAAACACAGCATACCATAAGCAAACCTAGTTTCACACGATTAATGTTCTGCCTAATGGCTGTTTCAACACTACACCGAGACATCAGTTCCCGTCTCGTCTCATTCAGGTCTCTAGCATATATGAAATTTAACAACGTTAATACGCCTCAAATCATTAGCATACGTGATAATATCTAAATCAGAAAATTGACACGGGTTCTCGTAACTCATATCAATAAAGTAAGGTATGAAATTCTAGATACACGTTTACCTATAATAATCGAGACTATACATTCAAACGATTCATTAAACTTATATAAAGAATATCATTGTACAGATTCATATAGATGAACTCACACAGCTGTAGTCCTATCAAGAAAATTTATATACGATTCTAACCAAATAAATTCATGCCAATATAAGCACATAAATCACAAATTGTCATATTGATATCAAGTAATTACGTGAGTCGGATGCAAAATAACTTGTCTCTTCAAACTTTTACCGCCGGAATTGTGTTCATAGAATTTTTCCAGACATCCAATTCATTGGATCTTTTTTTTTACGAGTGAATTTCTTCTTAATTCGACCCGTAGTCGTCTAACCATTGTTTTCTTTTTCATAAAAAATGGTATCGACTGATTCTAAGGGTCGCGATAAGCATATTTAAACCGAGATTTTTTATGTGGTATTACGCCCGTTTTATTCAGCGTAACCAAAATGAATTAAATATAGTCCCCGCCTGAACTAGGCTCAACACAATGCAGTTCGTCTGACAACCTCAGATTACCCAATACAGATTCCTGGTAACTTTCAGAAATGACAGTTCTCCATACAGATCTTTTGAGCTAAATAAACGAAGGTTTGATCAAGAACCAAATAATTCCACAACAGTGGTATTTGCCAATTACTGCGTTAGAGCGATTTAAACACGTGCCAGTCCCCATTTATCAAATTATTTGTTCACCTGTTCAACTTAATGTGTTCTTCTTAGATCGACAGAAATTTGCCCCCTTACAACCTTCTCCTTTCCAGCAGCGTTTCATAGTTGCTTTTTATATGCTGTTTAAAGTTGTACGTATATCATTAGATAACCAGGTCGTATAGGAATAACATCAGATAACCAGGCCATATTTGTGGTATGTACTCCCTGAGGTTGAATACGATTATGAGAGTAAGCTTTTGAATTCAGTGGTTTACTTGTAGTAGAATGTGATATACAAATTACATGCTGATATCTGTGATATACGTGTATTTTCTACCGCTTGGTACATACCGATCTGCTTCGTTATTCAAGTGATTCTCTTCTACTATTTTCGGGTCATTATTTATTAATTTTATGCGCAACCAAACTCGTAATTTATACTGGTAATTAAACTGTGTAATCCAGTCTCGGATTTTACGACATTGGAATATACATAGTATCTGGTTTTATTGTGACAATTCATCTCTCTCTCTCTCTCTCTCTCTCTCTCTCTCTCTCTCTCTCTCTCTCTCTCTCTCTCTCTCTCTCTCTCTCTCTCTCTCTCTCTCTCTCTCTCTCATCGTTTACTAGTTGGTATTGGTAGGGGGAGAGCATAATAAGCAACTAGGCCAGGCGTCTACAGCATTTAAAACGTATCCAGTACATAATTTTAACTATTTAACTGTAAAGAAACTTTTGTTTCAGTTTCAATGTAGGACTCGCGCTAGTTTCTCCCGTCTCCCCTCGCCGCTACCAGCGTCTGTACACAGGCCTTTCCAGTACATACAAACCTGCAATGTTGCGAGTTTAGCGTGACGGTAGAAACACGCAGCTAACAGATGAGATCATAAGTACCGTTGATTTTCACTATGCATACCACATAAAACATACCAAACGCCTTTCCGTGTTAAGTAATTAGATTACAAATCACGCCAATTTGTAGCAATGTTTGGTCTACAAAGAACGACGTAAAGTTATAAAGTCACAGGGGTCGGACGAAAAATGAATTAGCACGAGTTATTATTAATGGTAACAGCATGGTTCAGGAAGCACAGCAAGACTAGAACATTACGGCTTTATACGACCAGCAACACTTAATCAAATAATGAGGAAAAATGCGTTGTGAAATTGTTATTATAACAGATTTACATGAAAAGCTAAAATAAATATAGTCGATTGTGGATGGAGATGAAGTGTTTGACACTGTCAAGTTCACCACCACCACCCAAAAAAATGCACATATGGTCATGGTCTTCTTTATCAAATTTGATTCAATGAATCAACGAATACAAGCGCGTGAGATTTCTTGCATTTTCTTTCGGGGGCCGTGATGGTTTTTGGATGAGCCGTGTTTATTTAAATATGCATTGCAACCCACTAATCATCACAAAAATCTTCATCTTTAAATGCGTCTAAGTGTAAAATACTAATAATTGAAAGCACTACGCAAAACCATGACACATGTAAAATGAAATGGGGTATGGTCCCTAGTTTGTTCCACTTGTGGATAACAATCCAGCATTATCAATGCACACAAAGTAACATGGCACCGAGTTATATGCACACCAGACGATCCGGAAGCTCACATGTGGACATCATCTCATCCTCATCCGATAGAATGACTCATGACACAAACACTCGTTTAATAACTCACCTGCCAAACTCCGATGTACTAGTCAACGTATTACTGCAAGATGCAGTCTGCTGGAAACAATCAATAAAGCAATCTGACCTTTAGAGTTTGACCTTTAGGTGATCCTCCCATATCGCGAATAAATTGGCAAGTTTCACCTGTCTGCATCCAGGTGTTAGAATTGGTAAATATTCCCGGACTTCTGATCAACATTGCTTCAGGATATGTGCGACGATCACACCTGCAGTATTATATTTTCATTGTACTGGGGCAAGATGATTAAAAAAT